ATTCCCCAGCCAGCCATGCTGGCTGGGGAATTCTGGGAGTTGAAGTCCGCCCATCTTAAAGTTCCCGAAGTTGAAAAACACTGAAATAGATGCTGTTTTGGACTCCTTCCACCCATCCACCCTACCTTTCTCCCTGAATCTTTTTTTTTTCTCCTTTTTTGCAACATATAAAAGTGTTTTTTTTTGGTTAGGAAACTCCAAGAACAAATATGCATGATCTCGACTAGATTGGATCCATCATTTCCTTTCCACCTGATGGGTTTCCCCCCTTTTTTTCCCTCTGAAACGTTCATCACCATTCCTGCCCGGACAAAAAACACCCAGAGGGGGATTTTGCCCAGACAACGATGCGCGAAGCATGAAGTGGTTCTCACTTCGCATGCTTGTGGTTTCCATTCCAGTGGTTGTTATTGACTCCCTGCCTTGCCATGCAATTAACTTGTCTGTTTTGCATCCAGAAATGTGTTTTTGATCATTCACCATATTTTACTTTTGGTTTTTCGGGTGGTTGTGTTTCATGAGTGAAGATAGCCCTCCTCCGTAGAGATCGCCCACCGTAATGCTCTTCCAATCCGCCTGTCACGATGCCTAAAAAACAGATTAATTTCTTCCGTTTTGCAGCTTTGGGGATTTGGACATTATTTTAGCATTATTTCAGTCCTCGTCTGCTTGCAGATTAATAGCTCGTGATTATCCTTCTCTGGGTTCCAAATCCGGTAGGTACTTGGTGATTTTAGGAACAAAAGTGAAATTAACTGTGTCTAAGGGGGGTTTGTCATGGTGTGATCTTCAGATCTCTCCACACCCTCTGAAATCCCACCCATGCTGGAAAATACATAATGGAAATTTAACATGGACATCGCTCACTTGGGATGAAACCACTAGCTGGCGTTTCCTAGGACAGGCTATTTAAATCTGCCACTTTTAAATCGGATGGATGATAATTCAATGCGTTTGGGGGGGGAAAAACCCTCCAAAACTCCAAAAAACTCCAACCCCCCCCCAAACTCTCTGCCTCTAAAAAGTTAAGCCATCAAGGAATAAACTGCCAAGCTAGTTTTCTTAATGGGAGAGTTGTTAAATTATTATTATTAATGGAGGGATTTTCCCCATCGCTGCTCTAAAAAATACTGAAGTTTTTTTAGAATATGCGTAACTCAATGCCTGGATTAATTCATCAGTTCTCTAGCTTGGAACAACACAGCCCATAATTTAAAAAAACAAAACAAAACCCAGAGCAGCAATGAAAATGAACCAAACTGAGCATTTGGATCCTTTTCTGATGACCACCAGTCAGGTGGATATTCCAAACTCATCAAGGCCAATGTGACCTATTGGGAAATTTAAAAATGCAGTGCCGTTCTTAAATCACAATTTGCTGATCAAATCCGTGATCCCTTGCCCTTACTGGGTTTGCACCACCCAATGTAGCAGATTAGAAGCGTTGCATGGAATCGGCGTGAATGATGGTTTAGTTTTTAGTTAGTTAATTTTAGCTAGTTTTGGGGGGGGGGGTTGGCTGTTTCTCTGGGTCTGCCCTGCCCACTCCTGCTTGAGTTCTGGACGATCGACCACTTTTGTTCAGAACCTGCATCTAAAGCATTTTTTTTTCCATCTGAAGAAGATGCTTCTCATATTAAATGCTTAATGGGGAGGGGGGTCTCTGTGTCCCCCTTCCCTTTCTCAGCTGTCTTCTGAGGGCCAGGTTACAGACTTGGCACCAGGCTCCTTTCCCATCCCCGTCAAGCTTTCACCAACTCCTTTCTCTGGTGAAATTTCTCGGTGGATCTTGGTAGTCATTTTTGTTTATCCAGACCATCAGGAAAGGTGGACCATGGACTGATTTCTCATGGCCGGGCTTTTGAAGGAACCAACCAGTTTGCAAATAAGCTGGCTTGTTCCTGCCAACATTTGCCATGTTAAATCAAGGGTTGCCGACACTTCTGAGCAATGGCAAAGGTGGTCCTAGGGTGGGATAAATAGAGGAGATGAAATCTGTCCCCAAGTTCTCAACCTTTGCTGACTTCGAGGGCAACGTCTGTAGAGATCTCTTGGGAACCGATTGGAAGTTTTGTCAACTTTCCAACATAATGTACAGCATCTGATGATTAACCTGGTTAGCTTTTTTTGAGATCAACCAAGGTCAGCCAGAAGCTGCTAGCTCTTATTTCTTCCGTTCTTCTAGACCAGTGTTTCTCAACCTTGGCAACTGGACGTGTGGACTTCAACTCTCAGAGAACTCTGGGAGTTGAAGTCCACACGTCTTCCAGGTGCCAAGGTTGAGAAATCCTGGTCTAGACCATCAGATACAACGCCACCTGATTTATAACCACCATTATAACAATACTGCAGGAAGTCTCTGCAATATTGATTTCTGGTGACTCCCTCTAATCTTCTAAGCAAGCCTTTGCTAGCTCTGTGATGCTATTTCAACACCCTCCCCGCAAAAAATCTAGTTTTCAGACCTGCCTTCCTGATACTGCCCTGCCCAAATTCCAATCTGGCTCAACTCTGCAAACGAGATTCGCCTGGGGCTACCACCTGGGGGGACATCTCTCTACGAGAGGTTGGATTTAAGGCTTCATTCGTCCTCCCTGGACAGACCCACACCACCGTGGATTGGCTGAACCCCTTTTCAACCCCACCAATAGGCCAAACTGCCATTAAGTATGACCTCTTGAAAAGTCAAGTCTCCTGGCATCCTGCTTGGGGATGTGACAGACCTCTTGGCATCCATACAGAAGTGTTTTGTGGTGGCCGTCCACCTTCCCCTGTCCAAGTCCCAACCCTGCTTAGTTGGGGATGTGTGGCCACTTAGTCGTTCCACCACAGCATAGTACAATTACCGGGGGGAATCCTTCGCCCGTAAGCACCCAGCCTTTATGTTTTCCAGGCTTGGGTGTGACTTCTGAGTGTCCTTCCATGACATTAGATCAGTGTTTCTCAAACCTTGGCGCCACCCCCATATCT